GCTTCCTCTTCCTGACACCACCAGTGGTCAGGTCTCCCTGCCTCTAGCATGCAGTCTGTGCGGAGTCTCTGGCATGTTCCCTCTGCAGACCCCAAGACCATCTGGAGCAGGGCCAAGCAGGTGGGGGTGGGGGTGACAGGGTGGGCTGAGACCAGTGGGGGATGTGCACAGGAGGGGCGTGCCTGTGCGGGCCCTGAAGGAATGCTCAGCTCCAGGCTGAGGGCAGGGAGGGCAGGCAGGCAGCCAGCGGAGAGGCCCCTGGAGCCTGCTCCAACAGCCTCCCGAGAGGCCCTGCCCCTGCCAGCAAGGGCCTGCGGTGGGGTGGGGGTTAAGGGTCAGCCTGGCTGAGACACAGGGGGGCAGGGCTGACAGAGGTGGGGAAGGGTATGGCAGAGCTCAGGAGAGCTCACTCAGCAGGAGGTTGGGGGAGGCACTGCCTCCAGAATCTGGGCCCCAGCACAGGGGGGCACAGGAAGGGCAGGCAGCCTGTGCCCTTCAGACAGCACCACTCCCCCAGCGCCAGATGGGGGGCGAGGTCCTGGCAGAGGAGGGCCCAGGTAGGTCCCCTGGCCCATGCTGGTTAGGAGGGTGCAGCGCTGGGCTGGGAGGAGGTGGGCTCCTTTGGGAGGGTGAATGGTGGCCCCAGGATCCTTCCTGGTTGGTTGGTCAGTCGGTGGCTAGGCTCCAAGTCCCAGCGGCCTGTTGTGTCTTTTGGGTGCAAACGACACTCTTCACTGGGCTTCACAACGAGGAGACAACAGCATAAGCGAGGCGAGTGGACAGAGATGGCGAGGGGGAGGGGCTGTCCGAGAGGGTGTCGGGGCGGGGCTTAGGAGCGATAGTCCTTTTTGCTGTAGGGTTTATTGCCCAAAATGCTATCAATCTCGTGGATGATGGAAGACGACAGTTTTGGAAGGACCTGTGTGCAGAGGCGGGAGTTCATTAGCATCCCACCCAGTGGTCCAGCCTGGCCTGAGGAGGGGGACGGGGGAAGGGGGAAGCAGAGGAGGAGGAGGGAGGGGGAGGTGTGGGCAGCATTCTCCGGCAGCCAGGCATTTCCTTTCCTCAGCCTGTCTGGAGCAGAGGGAGGCTGTGCTGCTTTAGGGGCCACAAGGTTTGGGGCAGAGAGGGAGTATGCCTGGATAATAGGCTCCTCCCACACTCCAGGGTGTCCAGGATCTTCCACAGGGCTGGGTGGGTGGGTCTGGGCACACACTGCAGATTCTGGACTCTGACAGCTCATCCACCCTCAAACCCACCCTCTGGGTCTTCCCTGCCTCACCTGGCAGCCACGCTCATCCTCAGTCAGTGGTCTGGCTCTCCTTCCAAATCCCCCAGGGCCTAGCCCTAAGCCCCCACCCCTGGGTGAGACTGCAGGTGGGTCCCTGCTTCCCCTCTGGTTCCTGGGGTCCTCTTCCACCAGGCCAGGGGGGCACATGAAGCCAAGCCAGCTGCCGCCCATCAGAGCAGAACCAGGCTCCCGGGGGCGTTCCACAGAAGCTGATCTCCAGGCCTTTCCGAGGTGCCTCGGGGTAAACTCGACTCTCCAGCCTCTCTCTCGCTTAGCAGCTGGGCACCTAGCTGTACCCACCAGGGACTCTGGGGGGTTGGGGTCCTTTCTCTCCTCAGCTCCCAAACCAGAAGAAACATCAGAGTCCTTTCTGGGCCCACCTGCTAACCCCTATCCGCTTTGCTGGCCCCTGGCCCTCTGGCTTGCTTGGGCTGAGCGCCCACCTTGGCCTCACTGCTCCTGCTGCCCGACAGAACTCATCCTCAAGAGTCCCCAGGGTCACTTCCTTGCCACCAAGCCCTGGTGCAAATGTGGCTTTCTCAGCAAGCCTGTCCCGACGACGTCCTGGGTCCCTGCCCCTCCTGGGAGCACTGCTGCGCCCTATATCTTGCTCTGCTTCTTTCTCATTCTTCCATAGTGCCTGTTACCTCTCACACACGAACTTGCTTCCGTAATTTCCGGCATTTAGTCCAGGGCAGGGCTCGTTCATGATGTAGCCGGGCCCCTCAGCCAGTGCCTGGCCTGCAGCTGGTGCTTACCTGGATGGCGCCGATGTTCTCCATCAGCTGGTCGGCGTTAGAAGCTCCCAGGAGCACGGAGCTGACCCCCTCGTTCCTCAAGCACCAGGCTGGGGGCAGCAGGAGTGCAGGTGAGGGGCACATGCCTCATGAGGGGACCCTTTTGGGTTCTGCTCCTCAAACTCACTATGAGAGAAACCTAGCCTCTTGGTCTGGAGCCCAAGGGTGCTCAGAGGTGGGGGTGTGGGGCTGGCCAGCCCAGTGCTCAGTGCCCACCCTCTGAGGAAGGAGGGCTTTGCCCCAGCAGAGTCCGGAGAGACTGCGGGGCCTTGGGTGCTGGGAGAACCTGGGCAAAGACTGCTTCCTGGAGGAGAGCTGGCCCAGGAGTGTAGGGATCTGGTCCTCTCTCCCCATTAAAGCTGGGGCCCCAGGATGGCTGGGTCTCAGGCACTTGGGGACCCTCACATAAACCCCAGAAACATAAGCCCCAACCCCACAACCAAGACCCTATCACCCATGGCTGGCGGATGGAGTGCTGGCTTGGGTGCTCAGGCTCCCCCACTGCCCTGGCCCCAGGATTTGTCAGTGGCCAGCAGTGGGTGGTAGTGCCCAGGACCCCACCTCTCCCTCCTGACCGAGGCCTTACCGATGGCCAGCTGGGGCAGGGTGCAGCCCAGGCGCTCAGCAATGGCCTGTAGCTCCTTCAGCTTGGCCTGTTGGCGCCGGCCTTCCTCACTCAGAATCTTGTCCTTCAGCCACTGGTAGCCCTGGATGGTAATGGGCCAGACACAGGCAGACCCGCCAGTGAGGGAAGGCTGCCTGGGCCTTCCAGATCCTTCTCTGCCTCCATACAACAGCTCTTGGCTCGACTCAAAGGCAGGGTCAAGGCCTCCCTCAGCCTTGGTCTGGCCCGGCCCTTGGGCCCGACGGGGCAGGAGGAGGAAGAAGCCCAGGGCTGGGCCTGAGCCAGGAGGCGGCGGAGGAGCTGCGGACATCCTGGCTCCTCAGCAGCTTTGACCCAGGGGACTGGCCTGGGCTGGGGGCTCCAGGAGCCCTCCCCAGGGACCCCCTGACCTTGCTGTGGATGGGGAGCAGGGGTTGGGCATCCTGCAAACCGTTCTGTGCCTGCTCCACGTACCACAAAACCCTGTCCCCTGCCTGGTTCCCCGGTCCTGGCCAAGTCCTCATTTCAGAGACTGTGTGTGTGTGGTCATGTCCTGGGGGTCACTCTGAGTGCCTCTGCTGCCACCCCTTGGACTGAGCTCATGATGAGGGTACCAAGAGTGGGGGTGTCCCTGGTACCACCTGTGGAGGCCGTCAGGCTGAGAACGATGACCCACCAGGGGGCAAGCTGGTGGGCAGAGGAGTCTGTCCCCCAGGACAAGTGGCCCCCCTAGAACTGGGGTCAGACTAAATGGAACCCACGTTCCCATCATATGGGACCTGCCTCCAGCCACTGTGGTCCAGGGAAGCTCTGCCCAGCACCCAGGCCACCTGCCCAAAGACCCTGCCTCTCCAGTGGCCCCCCATCCCCCCAACCAGTGGTACCTCCTCACCTTCAGGGAGGCTCTTGAGTAGGGCGGGATGCCGCTGTCATACTTCCCAGAAATGATGCCACAGGCCAGAGGGGACCAGGTCATGGCGCCTACTCCTGGGAGAGAAAGCAGAGCAGGTCAGGCATCCACCTTTCTGGGGCTGGGGGCTGGGGGCCGGGGTCCTGCTGTGGACGGAGGGCTGCGGGGCACACCTATCTTGTGGAACAGCTCCGGCAGCTGCACCTCCACCTTCTCGCGCTGGAACAGGTGGTACTCTGCCTGCTCGCAGATGGGCGGGGTCAGGTTGAACTGCCGGGCCACTGAGTAGGCCTCCTGTGGAGGCAAAGCCACACTGGTCAGCTAGCCCCCCCCCCCTGCCGCCAGTGGGAGGGGGGGGTCTACACAGGACAGAGGGGTTGACGGAGGGGGTGGCAAGGAGCATCCTGGGCAGCAGAAGGTACAAAGTACTCATTTTCGGGGACACACTCATTCCTAACATGCTCATAGCTTCCCTAGGGGACCCCCGAGGTTGTAAGGGGCTGGAGGGGATGTCCTGCACAACTGGAGGTCTGGGGGCTGGCACTTCCTGGCCCAGTGGTCTTGGGTCAGGGGTTTAAGCCCTTTGTGCCTTGGTTTCCCTATCTGCCCTTTGGGTTAAATGGACCATAGTGTTCACAGTGCTCACCACAAACAGAGCCTGGCCTACAGTGGACTCTGGGGACCAGCAGGCCCTGCCACAACCCTAGGGCCCTGGGAGGGGTGCTAGCAGTAACAGAGGGGGCACACGGGGCAGGCATCAGTCCATTTCTGGGATGTGTCGCCCGAGGCATCCTTCTCTGTAGAATGGGGTGAGGCTCTCAACACCTGGAGAGCTCAGGTGAGTGACACCTGGCTCAGGGTGACTTCAGGGAGAAGCCACATGTGTGTCAGCACCAGTGGCAAAGACAGAGGCCTTCCGGGGCTTTACAGTTACGGTGAACTCAAAACCAAATGCCCGTTTAAGTTCTGTGTGGAGAAAAAGCTGGGGCTCACTTGTGGGGTGGCTGGGCCTGGCTCTGCCAGAATAGATCGCCGGCACCCCCACTTCTCTCCCTCAGGCATCGGCCCCTGGAAAGGACGGGACTCCCTGCCAACCCTGCTCAGCAAACCCCAAGAAGTCTGTGGGGTTCAGCCTCTTCGGTCCCTTGAGGAGGAAGGGAGACTATCTGTAGGGGGCTTTCCCGAGAACCGAGTGAGGTGGAAACACCGGGAGTTATGGGCCGGAAGCTCAGGATCCTAACAGTGGGCTCTGTTGCTGAGCAGCACAACGGGGCCTCCTCTCAGCTGTGTGATCTTGGGCATGCTCCTTAAACTCTCTGGGCCTCTCTGTCCACGTCTGAAAACACGGACAACAGCTGCACTCACCCTGCCCGTGATTCAGTGGCAGGGAGTCCCCACACAACTCTCACGCTCTCAGTTACCGGGCACCCCCAGAGCCCAACAAGGGGCGAACACCAGGACTGCACTCAGTGCCTGCTGTGCTCAGAACCTCTGCCAAAAGCTTCGAGCTGCTCTCTCTGCTGAACCTCAAAACCACCCGAGTGTGTGTGAGCGCGTGTGTATGGAGGGGACAGGCATTCCTCGCCATCTTGTTCTGCAGGTGGGAAGCTGAGGTGATGGGCCAGCACCCCGTGGGCACCCCTCCCATCGGCCCCAGTTAGGAGCAGCCAGCTGTGAGGCCCGGGCCTGCACCCAGGCCCACCGCACCCTCCCCCACCCCCTGCCCCAAGTGGTGGCCGTACCATGATCTCCATAGAGCTCCAGCGCGAAGTGCCCCAGTACATGGCCATCCCCTGGTTGATGACGTGGGTCATGGCACGTACCGTTTCTGTCACAAGAGAAGGGGAAGCTCAGGTGGGCAGGAGCCAGGAGCTCGAGGCCCAGCCTGGGGAGGACAGTCTACAGGCGAAAGGCGGGCACCAGGAAGGGAGAGGCTGCAATGACATCTTGCAAGCAGTGTACATCCTAGCTCCCAAGGTGTGCATGTGGTGCATGTGTCTGTCTGTTTCTGCTTCGCAGGACAGAAGAAAGGAATCGGCAGCACACCAAGAAGCTGGTTTTGTGACTGTCACCCCCTCCCCCTCACATTGCTCCAGGCTGTGGTGTCTTGGGAAACAGTGGGTTATGGAAGGAGGGATGGATTGTGACCTTGGGAAGGCAGATTAGAGGAGCAAGGGCAAGGTGAGGGCCAGGAATGGGATTCTGGACTCGCTGTGTTTCCACAGCGAGCATCCGGTCGGAGGAGACTCCAGGCCACGACCATGGGGAAGAACCAACCAGATCAATGTATCCAGCTACAATCAGGTGGCCCAGATGCACCGGAAAGGGGACACACACTTTCTGGGGGGCTCTGTCCCTACTCTATGGAATCCGGAGGGCTGAAGCGAGTGGTGCTGGTGTAGAGCCTGAGGGCTGCGGGCTGAAGGCCAGCCAGGCAGGGGGCCAGCGCCTAGCCGGGAGGCAGTGCAGTTCTGGGCAGGCCAGACTCTCTGCCTTGCCCGGGAGGGGAGGTGAAGGCTTCTGCTCCCGGGCAAGGGTTCTGGCGTGTCTCCAGAGAAGAGCCAGGGACAGCCTGGTCCTCCCTTGGGGCAGAAGCAGGACACCAGAGAGTTCTGCTGGTATTCCAAAAAGGTTTGGAGAAATAAACATAGGCCAATGATAGCGTGCCCATGAGCCTCGTGGGGGTATTGTCCCCTTCTCCCACTGGCCCCTCCGCATGTGTCTGAGCTGTGCCCACTGGCGCAATGCAGAGCAAACAAGGGCAGCTGTCGCACGCAGTGTGGAAAGCAGTGGGAGGACAAGTGTTTCTAAAAACAAAGCCCTAACACTCGTCCTCCCAAACCCCTATCCCACCCCCTGGGGCCTGCTTCCCATTTGCCCTGGAGATGGGCCGAGCTTCCTGAGAATGGGGGCAAAGGGTGAGTGGGGAGCAGGAAGGAAGGAGGAGCACACTGGGTTTGTTCTCAGCATGTGCCCTGCTAGATGGTGACATCCCAGCCACCTATCCAGGGTCCCTGAGTGTCTTGGACCAATGTCAACCTTTTCAAGTGGCCAGCTAGAGAGATGTCTGCCACCACACTGTGTAAAGTTTTTAAGGACCTGGTGGTGCCGTGGGGTCAGAGATGGGCGGCTCATCACAAAGTTGGCCACTAGCTGCTCCGTGGGAGAAAGATGACGCCATGGGTCAGAATCGACTCCAGGACTGTGGGTCTTGTGCTTTGTTTAATGGATTCTATTAGGAGTCTGTGAGTGAGTGGTGTGTGAATGGCCGATGTCCACCCAAAGGTGCGTTAAAAGCAAGGTCTGGCTATCTGCTGACAACCTGCCGCTGGACTTAGCTCTAGTGGGCACCGTGGGCCAGCCACCATGAGCTGGATTTCCTCCTTTCTGCATATCCTTCTTCATATGGTTATAACAGTTGTTCCAGGCACATGTTTTCCAGGGTCCTGGCCCAGGGAGGACCAGGGCTTCTGGAGGTGACTGGGGCTTCTGGGGGGTAGTCTTAGTAGGTTCACCCTTTGACTCCTATACAGGTAGGCCAAGCCCTACCCTCTCCTTCCTTCCAAGTTCGGGACGGGCCCCAGGATTCCCAGGAAGGGAAGCTGGCCCCTGGGGCCTCCATCTGGGCTGTCTGTTCTCCTGTGGAGGCTGCTCACTCCTGGACAGACGCATTCAGAGGGCCGGCAGGGCCTCAGGAGACACTCCTCCTCTCCGCTCTGCTCCTATGTGGCTACCCTGGTTCATTTTTCAGAAACACTCTCAAGGCACCTGTGACCATGCAGGGAGGGTCCCAGTTCTTTCCAGCCAAGGCAGTGAGTCCACATGCCAGCGAGAGGGCAGCAGGAGAGCCTGTCCGCCAGCCTCCCGCTTGCTCCCCACTCGGAAGACCCTCTAAAGGTCACTGAAATGCCCTCTATGCAGGGCTGGGGACAGAGCCAACCTACAGGCCAGCCCTGACTGCTTGGGGGTGGGGGTGGGGCCAGAAGGTCTGGGGCTCTGGCCGGCTGGCGACAGTGCCCATTCTTGGGAGCCTGGGCTCTTGCACGTCTATGGCCCCAGAAATGGACAACTGAGGGGGACAATTGTCCTTCATTTCAATATTTAATGCTGTTGGACAGAAGCAGGAGGACTGATCCTTCCAGCTGCTGCCAAGGGCTCGGCCTCTCCCGCTGCGACACAAATAATACATGGATGGGGTCAGGTGGCACGTGACAGATGCCCAGCACATTCCCAGGGAGGCCAGACCTCCGAGCAAGAACACATCTGCCCCAAGGGTGGGGTCCTGGGGGACCTGGATCTAGGGGGCAAGCAGAGGGACTCACACAGCCAGAGCTTGCCCGAGTAGCAGAGCCCCACTAGCTGCTGTCTTTATAAGTGAGGAGGGGGAAAAACCATTCCATTGTGATGGAGAGGCCTGGCCGCTGGCAAGGCTGGGCATAGCAGGTGTCCCAGCTTGGGGGGAGGCATAAGCGGTCCTATGGAGCAGCCAGTGTGCTGTGATGGGGGAGGGCATGGTCTCCCAGAATAGGACTATAAAAAAGGCAAAACCTGTCCAAGTCGACTTCTTCTGGGGGCCCCCATGTGTCCCTCTTTGGGAAGGGGGCGGGCCTGGTTGTCCTAGCCCTTTCTCTGGTCCCCTCTTGGGCCGGAGTTTCACACGCTGACTATGGCACCCCCATATCAAGAGGCCTGGCGGACAGGCCGGCCACCCGCGGGGTCAGCCACCCTGGAGTCCATTGGCAGTACAAGCAGGTGGAGGGCAGTGTCATGCGCAGACAGAGGGACGCAATGGCGGTGGCACGGACGGCAGGGAAGAGGTGGGGTGGGCGCCCACAAGGCGTTGCAACGTTTCCTTCCACTTGCAAGATGTCCTCACGGGGCACTTTTATCTCTTTTATGCATTTTATGGAGAAGTTTGTCATCAGCGGGCACAGAGAGCTGTGTAAATAAACACACTGCCTCATAAAATGCAGCTCGGGCACGGGAGTCAAGAGCCGGGCTGCGGCCACCGTGTACCTTCTATGATGAATGTCCTGGACTTGGAGGAACTAAATGGGTCCCCTGGTGACAAAAGAAAGATTTAAAGAGACCAGAGTTTACAGCTGTGGGAGCGTGGATGACATAGGGCACAGGGAGGGAGGCACAAATCACTTCTCACAGAACATTTGTTTACCAAACAGGAAGAAAAAATATGTACACACGCGTGCATACACACGGAGGTCTACCTCTAAGACAATGAGCGCAAGGATCACTTCGATGCGACTTAATTTTCCAATTCCCGGAGCAGCCAAGCACCAATGAGAGAGAGAATGCCCGCAGCATTCGCTGGGGGATGGGCGGGCGGGGAGTGCAGGAGCGGAGAGAAGGCCAAAAGAAACCAAAAAACCACTTCGCAGCCTTTTTGAAGCCACACTTTATGCCCCCAGAGCAGAGGACCCCCTCAGAGCCCCAGGAGAGGGGCCAAGAGGCATCTTGTTTTGACCACCAAACCAAGAAAGCCAAACTCGCCGCCATGGAGTCGATGCCGGCTCACAGCGACCCTGTGGGGCAGGGTAGAACTGTCCCTGTGAGCTCCTGCGACTGTCACTCTTTACAGGATTAGAAAGCCCCGCCTTTCTCCCGAGGAGCAGCTGGGGGTTTCCAACCGCTGACCTCACCTGGGATCGCAGCCCAACCACCTGACTGGCAGTCATCAGAGCCTCTGACCCGGAACCTTCTGCCGGCCCCGCTGTGTCTACGGGCGACTCACCTACCTTCCATGGGCGTGTTGGGGTCGGGGCGGTTAGCAAACACCACGTCCACGTACTCCAGCTGCAGCCGCTCCAGGGAGGCTTTCAGACCTGGGGAGGGAGGCACGGGGTGGGGGGTGGGGCATCACCACGGCCGACACCCTCCATACACCCCTCCAGCCAGGAGCCTTGGAGGAGCGGAAAGAAGCGCCCTCCCCCACACCTCCCGCACTTAGGAGCTGTCCAGGCGGGAAATGCATAGCGGGAGTGGGCGCACTGCAGGGCTCCCGGGCCGAGGCGCAGGCCAGAGGGCTCTGGGAGGAGGTGGGGAAGGCCCTATGCACACAGGAAGGGGCTGTATCCCATAGTCACGGTCCCCTCCAAGTGACTGCCAGTGGTCCCCTCCAAGTGACTGCCAGCCCAGTGCTGCCCCGTTCCAAAGGAACACAGGGGAAGAAAGAAAGATGGACCACAGCAGGGGAGCCGCGCTGCTCCGGGGGCGGTGCCTTTGAGAGGATGCACGGCTCCCTGGAGGGAGCAGGGTCCTTCAGCTCAGGACAGAAGCCCTCAGGCCACCCCACTCCTTAGAAATGTCCACCCAAAGATTCCCAAGGGTAGTGTAGTGACCACAGGCCAGAGGTCCTGTGACTGGGTGAAGTAGGAATTTGCCCCCCTCCCCCCAAGAGCACATCCCCTCCCCTGGGGCATCTCCTGGAGTCCCCAGGATGGAAACCCGCTGAGAAAGCAGCTGACAGAGTGCTGCTGTGGGGGGGCAGCAAAGGGGCAGGGCAGAAAGCCCTCTTAACGACGTGATTGTTTTCTAATAGAGCAATTCCCTTGATGAAAATGAAAATCAATAGAAAAGGCACAGAGACAATTGAAATACAACAGTGGCTATCCTAGCTAGCCTTTCTGGAGGGTGCTCCTCGGATCAAAGACCCCAGGAGGTGGGGTTCTAGCCCCATTTTACAGATGCTGCGACAGATGCTTGGGGAAGCCTTGACCCTCATTCAAGGTCACCCTGGGGGAGCCTGGATTCTAACCGAGCCTGAACGGCCACACTCCGGCCCATCCATCCCACTCCCTTCAGGTTTCCTTTTCACTACGCTCCAGTCCCGCCCATCAGAGTTCAGCCCCTCCCATAAAACCGCACACACGGTGCCCCAGCCCCTCCTATCAAACTCCCATCATGCTCTAACCCATCCCTTCCATCCCATTCCCAGCACGCCCACCACTCTCCAGCCCCTCCCACCATACACCTACCCGAGCCTAGCCCTTCCCCTCCTACTTTCACCACGCCCACCAAGGTGCAGCCCCTCTCCCGCATAACACGCCCACTAGCTCTAGCTCCTCCCACACCCCCGCCCATCATGCTCCAGCCCCTCCCATCCATTCCATTCCCACCACGCCCACCATGCCCCAGCTTTTCCATCATATTCCCACTAGCCCAGCCCACCCCATCCTCACTCCCTAGGAAGAATAGCAGGGCCAGGCACTGGGGACACACGGGGCTGGAGGCCTTGAACTATGTACCCGGAGTCCCTGAGTGGCTCAAACGATCAAGCACGTGACCGCTAGCTGAAAGGCTGGCGCTTCAAACCCACGGAGAGGCATCTCCACCGACAGGCTGAACTGCTTCCACATTGCGAAGATCCTAGGGGGCATTCTGCCCTGCACGTGGGTGGCGGGGAGCCAGCTATATGACTGGGGTCCAGTCTGACACACTGGGGCAGGTGCCCGGGGCTGCCAGGGACTTACCTTCAATGATGTGCTTCCTGGACAGGCCCCGCTCCGTCTCCGCCCTGGAAGACAGGCGTTTTGATTCAAGGACAAAACCCAAACCCCAGCTGCTGTCTGGAGTCTGGACAGCGTTGCAGCCTCAGCTGTCGGGCTCCCCACCCCCTCCCACGTCTGGCACTGGACACCTGACCCCGCAGCTATCTCCCTCCCCTGCTGCTCTGAGAGCTACGGGGTCTCCCACCCCGCCCCCATCGGCATACTGGACCCCGAGCTGCACCTACTTTCCACCCCAGAAGATTTTGGTAGTGATGACGAGGCTGGATCGCCTGCAGGAGAAGAGAAACAGACATGACTGAGGCTTGTGCCCTGGGGTCCACTCTCACACGGGAGTTCTAGGGCCCTTGGGGGGCATGAAACAGGCACTTACTTGTCACTCGATGTTTACGTACCACATGAATGGAGAAGGGGAAAGTGTGTGGGGTCCCTATGGGGTCAGGAGACAACCTATAAATCAATGAATGACCCAAGCACGCCTGCCCAGGCACTGGGTGCTGATGGAGTGGCACGGAGAGCCAGAGGGTCCAGGGACTGCAGGAGGAAGGTGTTGGAGAAGGCGAAAAGAGGGCGAACCCTGAGCAAAGACTCTGAGGAAGTCAGGTTCAGGGGTTGGTGAGCAGACGGAGGGGCAGGGGCCCAAACTGGCTGGGTTTCCCCTATAGGCCAGTATTCAACTTGTAGGTCACCACCCCTTTGGGGGTCGAACGACCCTTTCACAGGGGTTGATCTATTCATAACAGTAGCAAAATTAGTTATGAAGTAGCAACCAAAATAATTTTTTTGGTTGGGGGGGTCACCACAACATGAGGAACTGTGTTAAAGGGTCGGGGCATTAGGAAGATTGAGAAGAACTACTGTATAGTCCACAATGGCTGCTTAAGGAACTGGTGATAGTCAGTTACAAATCTGGTTGGTAACCGCAAGGTCAGCAGTTTGAAACCACCAGCCGCTCCTCAGGAGCAAGAGGAGGCTTTCTACTCCCATCAAGAGTTACAGTCTTGGAAACCCACAGGGGTGCTCTACTTGGTCCTATAGGGTTGACTGTGACTCAGAACTGTCTCAATGGCAGGGATTTTTTGGTGAGCTGTGGGATGTCCTGATGGGGAGCAGGCAGGTAGGGGCAGGACATGGGGGTCAGGGAGAGCTGGAAAAGCTTTGGGGTTTGGGGGGCATTCAGACTGAGAACCCCTAGGGCCTGGGCATTCTCCCTGTCACCTCCTGAAGCAAACGCTGATGAGAGTTGTTCTGAGGGCATATGGGGGACGATGATGGCAGCAAGCCCAGAGTCAACCAACCCCCCCACCCCCCTAGGCCGCATCTGAGCTGACACCTTCCCAGGGGAAGGAGGACACTGGGGACAATGACCTCTCTGCCCTTCCTCATGTTCACCTCCTTGGGAGGTCACACAAGATGCATGTAGAGTGCTTGCTAACATGGGCAGCACTCTCCATTACAGAGCAAAGGAGAACTTGCTTTGGGGCCAGTCACAGCCAAGAAGAAACAGCTCTGGGAGTGGGGGTGGGCAGGAGAGGGTGTGCTAGGGCCAGGGGGCAGCCTGGCCAATGGGGGCGGAGTCTCTGGAGGGCTGGGACACTGCAGCTGTTTCTGAAAAGAAGGTTCATGAAACAGGGCTGGTGAAGGCTGAGGCTGGGGCTGGGGCTCCGAGGTGGTGTTCAGCTTGGGCGGAATGAGCCCTGTCCACCCCTGGGGGGTGAGGTTGTGAGGCCTCTGGGATATAAGGGCAGCTGGGGCTCATGGCCTCTCAATGGGCCAGCCCCAGGGGACCCGGCCTGGGGACTGAGGCATAACAAGGCCAGCCTTGCAAACTCTGGAGATGGGCGTGCTCATTCGTGTCCAGGGAGGCCCACTGGCTCTAAGTTGCTCTAGGTTCCTGCCCCTTCCAGCAGTCATGGAGTGGGGGGTGAGTGGCACCCCAGGTCTTCAGCAGCAACACAGCTCCACCTCAGGGGACCTTCCTGGAAGTGACAACCCTGCCCCCTTGGACCTTCTTGCTTAAGGGCCCATGGGATGAGCTGTGACAAGGTGGAGGGGCCACAATTCAGGAGGGTGGACACAGGGGGTCATCGAACCTCTCTCCCAGGCACAGTGACCTCTTCACTGAAACAGACCCTTGGTGACAGCCGTTGGAGAGGCGGGGAAGTCCCCAGGCTCCCCTCAGCTTAACACCCCTTGGTGCCCTTGGTGGTGGCCATTCTGACAGCATATACAACCTCTCCTTCCCTGGAGAGCAAGCACAAGGCGGCCTCCATTCTAGAGCGAACCTTCTCTCCCCAGCAAGAAAAGTTCTTTCAGGGATTCCTAGGTCTCAGCAAGATAGGTTGGCTGCCGAGGGGGGAGCGGGGAGGGAGGGGAAAAATGAGGACCTAATGTCAGGGGTTTAAGTGGAGAGAAAATGTTTTGAGAATGATGTACAAATGCGCTTTACACAGTTGATGTATGTATGGATTGCGATAACAGTTGTATGAGCCCCTAATAAAATGTTTAAAAAAAAAGTCCATCTGTGCCCACTGCTAAAAAAAAAAAAGATAGGTTGGCTGCCCAAGGGGCTGATGGGCTAGTAGAGGGGGGAAGTGAGCCCCTAACCCCCCAATCATACCATAACCAAGTAAGCAAGGCCAACACCCATGAGGCTCCAGTCCCAGGAAGGTCAGCTCAGCCCTGTGGGGACCCCAGGGTGATCCTGCCTCTTCTCATGCTCCCCTGCCCAGGCCCCAGATACCCCCTTTCTCCCCAGCATGTAATCACAGAGACTTTACAGTAATTACCTCCAGCCTTTCTTCTTAATAATGTTTCCTAGGACCACCTCAGCCCTGTGGAGCAAAGGGAGACACAGGGATTTTTTTCATTAGGGCTATAGAAAACCAACCAGCCCACCCCCAGGACTACCAGTTCCCTGAGTAGAGAGACACTGGAGGGCTTGGCTCCAGCAGCAACTTCCAGAGAGAAGGGAGGCTGCTGGTTGGCCTGGGCCCAGGTTGCGCTGGCATGCCATGGTTTTGATGACTGAGGCTGCAGGCATGTGTGCCCTACAGGTGCCGGTCAGCACAGCCTGGGCTCCAGGGCTAGCAGAGAAAGCAGGGCGCCCACAGGGGTCTGTGTCCCACTGGCAAGGTCAGTGCCTGTGTCCCTGGCTGGCTGGAATTCACCCAGGGGGAACCGCTTGGCAGCTTATAATGTGAGGGAAGTGTCCAGACAAGTGTATCTTTTAACAGGTAAATTATTCATCAATAATTTAACTGTTTTCAGAGACAATCAATACCTGTTCTGGACAGAGCTGAATTTCTAGCTCTGTGTGTGTGCGCGCGCGCACGCGCTGGGTGCACATGTGCGTGGAGTGTGTACATGGGTATGTGCGTGCGTGCATGCGCACATGCACCCTGCTTCTGAATGGGAGGCAGATGGATGCCAGGGCACCACCGTTAGCACTGCTTGGCATCGCTCCCAGTCCCCAGCCAAACTCAGGCTGCAGGGGTCAAGGGTGAGTTGCTCCAGGCTCGATTGGTACTTGAATAGCTGGCTTAGCTTTTAAGAACTTTCTGTTAATAGTGAAGTGTTTCTGAACAAAAACAGCAGATGGAGAACGATCCCTACGCAGGCTCATTCCGATGATAACGGCGCTGAGTCATCCGCTCAGAAATAACGGGCCATCTTTTGCAAGCTGTTTCCCATACACTCTGAGTACCTGATGGACAGACAGGCAAACACACAGAGCACATGCCAGCCCCAGCGCTGGCTGGGTGGGCACAAAGGATTGGGCAGGAGGAGAAGAATCTAGTATGCCCCCTGTAGCCACAATGAGAGCCACAGGCTGAGAGAGGGCCAAAGCCTGCTGCCCAGGCCCGTGACTTCTGGGAAATGCCCGCAATGAGGAGAAGCAGGGCCCAGGAACATACATGCTGGCCACCCAGGTGGGCAAGAGGGCCAGATGCTGGCAGTCCATAACCAAACGGCTGTTCCCCATTGCACTGTGACCAGCGTCCTGCCGGGGGCGGCTGGCACTGATGCACTGATGTGGGGTGAGAGGCAGCACTGAGAAGCAGCTGCAGAGGCCGTGGAGGAGTGGAGGGACAGGATGGGGCTACGATGCCAGGAAACTGCTTCCCTGGTCGTTGGCTTCCTGAGGCTTCCAAGATGCCAGGACCCTGTGCACCCAGGCACTCAGGGGGTTGCAAGGCCAAGGCCACAGAATAGAACACAGCTACTGGGACAGGTAGCATGCCAGGCTCTGGGTAGGAGGTGGGGCTTTCTGGAGCTGGCCCTGTCCCCCCAGAACCAGAAGGCAGCCAAACCCAAGCAGGATTAAGGCCCAGAAGGGACTGAGTGCTTGGGCTGTGGATAGCGTCTGGTGGACTCTGCACTGGGCTTTAAAACTGAGCAACTGTCAGGAAAACAGTTCACTTTGATGGGAAGCTGCTGCCTGCTTGAAGGGTTGGAGGGACTGGGGTGGGTGGGTAGGGTGTCAGGAAGGTAGAGGGCCATTGGGGAGGGGGAGGGGGTAGCTGGAGAACTTTCTGCGGCTCCTGCAGGATCTGGGCAGTCTGTTCCCCAGGCTCTGGGCAGGCTCTGCAGGCTGGGCAGGTGCTGGCCCTGAGGCCCTGGTACACAGGCTATAGCTGCAGCCAGCTCGGCTGCCAGAAACTTGGCTCAGCCCAGGCCGCAGAGAGCCCAGGGAGGGCGAGCAGGGAGCCAAGAATGATTTCCCAAACAAAAGCTGACGTTTGAAACCTGAGGCAGGACAGTGGGTGATGTGCTTCTAGCCGGTCTTGAAAAGGGAAGCCAGCAGGCCTAGATGGAGCGAGCTGAGCTCTTACATAACAGGGCACGGGGAGCGCTGCCCAGCTGGGAGGGCTGCCCACAATATGGGGAGTGGGGAGGCAGACGCAGCCCCTGCAGTCCACATGGTACCATTAAGATCCGCGTGTTAGGCTCAGGCACGTGGGGCTGACCACAGGTCACCAGATGCCAGGAGAGCCCGAGAGACAGCACCATCATGCTCCTCCCCAGCAGGACGATGCTGGCACTTCGCACAGTGGCCACTTCAG